TTTGACCACCTAGCCAAACCATTGCGATAACTTGCACAATAAACTGCGCTCCACTTGTCCCCCGAATTTTGCCGAACTGGCCTTGCTGCTGTTACTGACATCTTCCTCCCCTTGAGGATTGAGTCCACTGCTGGTGCCTGAGTGATGAGAGCTGTGTCCTATGTGACTTTCGGGGGTGGAGGTCCCCTGGAGGTGCTTCTGTCCCGCTCCTGCCGGGGACGCAGCCAGGAGCCCTCTCGGCAGGGTCCTCCCCTGCACAGTGTGTCCCAGGACAGGAGTTGTGCTGCAGCGGGTGGTGTTCATACAGCGTGTTCGCTCTGCACGTGCTCCCCAGTATTTGTTATGCTGCTAGCTTTCCTTGGGAGTGAGCGATCTGCAGTTGGAAAGCTGATAAGGGTTAGTTTCAGTGGCTGTGCAGGCTTTGAGAAGGCTTAGAGTTAACTAGGGAGTAGTTAATAAGTTCAAGGGCTTTCTTTTACCTCTCCCAGCCACCTTCCTCTTTCTGGTCTCACAGGCATAAGGCTTCTCACCTCCCTTGTGGTTATATGGCTTCTACTATTTGCAGCATTAAGGAAATACTCGGTGTACTCAGAGCAACTGAATTCTGCCACCTCTTGTAGTATGGTAGTCCCATATTGCTCTGCATAGTTCAGCTACCTATTCCTGAAAGTAAAGTGTTGCTTAATTAGAGGAAGGTTGGCAGCATCTAGTTTTATGCCACTTTGAAAAAAGTTACATCTCGTTGCCTTCTCCCCCAGCTTTTTCCCCTCCATCACTGCCTCAGTGCAAAGTAAACCCAAACCCAGCTGCACACCTGGGGGGAGAACACACTCCTCATTCTGCCCATGCCAACTCAGGGCTTTTAAAATGGGGCTGTTTTGAGTAGAAATGCATAAATAGGTCAGGGGAAGCAGACATGCATGCTTTGGCATAAGACAGAAGAGCAGTTTGAGGAAATGCTTTAGTCTGATTTCCCCACTCCCTGTCCTCCCCAAGATACTTTCAGGAGTTTGTCAACAAGGCTTCAGCTTTTAGGAGCTTAAATTACTGCAGCCCGTGAAAGTTACCTTCAAGATTATCTCGAAGGTCTTGGGCCAAAAGGTTAAGTCAAAAGCTGAGGCTGTTAAGACGAGTTGGAGGCTTTCCAGTAAGGCTTTCCGCTGCAGACCCAAAGCAGCCGACGCGTGTTCCCTGGGATGGCGCAGGGCTGGGGGTCTCCTCCATGGCAGGGAGCCACCCTGCTGGGCTCCTGTAAACCACAGGCGAAGAAAGCCCCTTTTCTCACCTGTTCTACTAAATAGTGGAAGCTGGGCTCTTGTTTTTGCTGGCTCTTCAGAGCTGAGCAGGTTGATAGAGACTGGTGGTGTTTGGGCCAGAGCTGACATTTTTGAGGCGCATTGCTGTAGGCAACAGAACAGGACTACGTCCCACTTGAGTCGCTCAGTGTGCCTTAACTTTCAAACAGTCTGCACAGTGGTATCCACCGAGCAAGAGATTAATCGTTAGCTGTGATAGTATCACCTATTTTTTATTTCATTTTTATTTTTTCAAAGTTTTGATATATAGTTTTATGCTCCCAGGTTCTTGTGATGGGGTCAGTATGTGGTGCAGCCTGGTGAATCCACGGCAGCTGCAAAAGCAGCCACCTTTATTACCACTCATAAGAGACAGCTACCTCCAGAATGAGAAAAGGCACCTTCTTGTCCTGGATGAAACTGTTTGGAGTAGCCTGAATTAAGTTTTAGATCAAGTAAGCAAACTAGTTTAACTTCAGGGAGACTGTCAGCATGAAGAGCTACGGAAGACAGAAGCATCAGCCGTGCTTCTGGCTGGGGGTGAGTCACAGCGAGTCCCCAGGAGCAGCTCTCCAGGAGGAGCAGCACTGGCCGTTGGCTTACAGTGTGGTTTCTAAGTTTAGTTTTCCAGTGGGCTCAGGTCCCTAATAGATTCTAACGGTTATTTTCATTAGCGAGAACATCTATGACTCCCGCCGCTCTCCTGCAGCTGTTCCTAGATGTGTAGCAAAGCGTGTGGGTAGCAGCCTCCAAACGTTCGGAATGGCTCTGTGTAGGGCCCAATTCAGCCTTGCTCTTGGGATTGCTGGTTGCAGTTACTGTAGTTGCAATAGTAATTAGGTAAGGGATGCATTTGACAAAGGCAGAAGCAGACTTATTTATTTGTAAACGAAATTTCAACTTTTAAAACACATCTGTCCTGTTAGTGAAGGAAGAATGGGGGGTGAAATAAACAGACGTGGCAAATACATTGTAACTGGGATGACCATTCCTTTGCCAGCCTTGTCACTTGTGCTTTAATCTCCTGATTCGATGGAGATGCATCCTCCAGTGTCACCAGACAGAGCTTTGCTGTGCAGTGCTCAGGACCGTGAGAAGGTCGCTGCCCCAGTACCTTCCCAGTCAAAGGGCTGGTTCCTCGGGGTTGCTGCTGCTTGGCTTTGACATGGATCGACTCCAGTGGACGGTGTATAAGAAGTGTTTATGTCGTTAGGCACAGGTTTCATAGAATCGGGCCACGTTAACCTGTGCTCTGGTTAGGAGGAAAGAAGCCTCAGTTTACCGCTAGCAAATTTTACTGATGTCCTTCCAGTGTACCAGGGAGCACGGTGCAGGAGGTGAAGAAAATTGCTGTTAGAATAGACATCACGCTTATCCCTGCTGAAGCCATAGGACCTTTGCCTTTTAAAATGTCACAACATCTGCTTGCAGATTGGAGGACATGAACTTGACTATGCTTTTTGTGCCACCAGTTGACGAAAAGGAAACATAGAGAAACTGTATTTGCTGGCTGCCTTACTGCTCTTCTGCTGTGGCTTCTTGACACTGTTGATCGGTGCTGTAGGAGCAGAGGTCACAACTGGAAGACCCTGAACTAAATTTGAGAGCTTACGTTTACTGACTCAGACTGATATTTGGAGATAAAAGGAGAGCTCTAGGGATCTCCTGCCCAGCTGCCTCCTGGCAACTTGCCTCTTTCTCTTTGCAAGAAGAAAATATTAATGCATCTGGGCGTGCTTATGCACAGTTTGGCAGAACCTAGCAGGATGGGAAGCTGTGCTGGCTGAAGCATGTTCTCCTGAAAAGCCTAGCACACAATGTCCTCTGCAAGCCTGAGTAGAGGCTGTATTTGGGCTAAGTTTGATCTGCCTGTTCCCTGCATCCCCTTATCCTCCCTCCTTTTCTGCATTAAGCTATCATGCAAAGCCGTAGAAAAGGTTTAGGTACAAAAATGGGCACATACGCCGGAGCCCTTTTGCTGCCTGCCACGAGCACTGCTTTGTCGGAGAGGCTGTGGATCTGTGGCAGCACCAGGATTATGAGACCCTGTGAGGGACAGGAGGCAACAGGGCGAGGTGGGGTCCACGGTGAAGGAAGTGCTGCTGGAGCAGCCCTCTGTTTGAGTGTGACTTTGCTCAGCACGCTCAGCTTTTGGTCAGACCCGGTGATAACTCTTAGCAGCAGCAGGTTTCCGTGCTTGGTGTCCTTTGACTTTTCTAGTAAGATGGTGGTTTTTGAAGAGTGAGGTGACGTTTGGGTTCCCGTCTTCAATCGCTACAGCAGATGTGAGCGTCTTCCCTAAGGCAGGGATAAAGCTCCCATTTTACTGTTCTTAGCATTCCCTGTTCTTGCAAATCCCCAAGAGCTCTGCTTTACTCCTTGGTGTTCCTGAGTGTCCACCCATCTGATTGTCTTCTGCACAAAGTCAGCTGAAGTGGATGTCTGCTGATGTGCCTACTTCAGTGGACTTATCATATGTTTTTACCTCTAGAAATTTTCTATTGTATGCTGTCACTATAGCATGTGGACTTCTTGTATGGGAAGGAGCAGCAGTATTAGCAGCTCCTGCAGATTTTAGACTATCTGGTTTCAAAATGAGGTGTTGTAATAAGCAGGACAGCCAAACTCCTGCCTTTTTAAGCATCTGATGCAACAGTGGATGCTGGTTTAGTGGCTTTGGTTCCTATCACCACCAGACACTAGAGCCATTTGTTTTGCTTGTTTCTTACTTACGATTTTAGTATATCCATCAGATACCTTACTTGGTCCTTCTTTGTACGTGGCAGAACCTGTACAAAAGTAAAATAACTGAAAATGAGGTGTTTTGTTTTGTTAAGGGGAGATGGAATTATGGTTTAGCCAACTAAAAAGAATCGCTCCCTGAACTCCGAAACCAGTTGTTCAGTGCTCGGTCAGTAGGTGTCCAGCAGTAAAGACTATTGGGTTTTGCACGATAAAGCTCCTGCTCCTCTTCAGAGTGATGATAAAATGCCTTCAACTGATGCGGTCAGACCAAGCACGTGAAATACAGCACCCTTAAGAAACACAAAGCTGTTTATGAGTGTGTTTATGTGAAGTATAATAAGTTTCATACCGTTTGCACTCCTTGGCACATGTACTGAGGTCATTTGTGGCATACTTTAATTCAGTCCCCACCCAGCGTCTTCTTAATAAGCCAACTGGGAGGTAGTGAGACTAACGTGGAAAACTCCTAAGTTGCCAGTGGGACACCAATTGTCTGCTTTGTAGCAGCTCTTTGGAAAGCTAAGAAATAAGTGCCTTGAAGTGGTGGGATTTACTGAAGCGTGGGGAGAGGAGGGTGTTAATTGTGTTTACAGATGAACAAGTAAAATGCATCTGAATTGTGAAAGAGCTTATACTAGAAAGTAGTAACATCCATCCTGGCTGCTTTGCAACTTGGGATAGTAGCTCCCAGTTGCAGTTATATTTCATTTAAAAAAATATGCAGTTGTTATATAAAAGGGCAAACCAGCTAGAATTCTAACAAGCAGTTAAATTTGGGTGACTTTCTACAAAAAAATAGCCGGATGAGTATCCTTCCATAGGCTAGCAGGGTATTTCACAGCAGGGCATTAAGCCTGTAGTACAGTGATAGAAATTCTAACATGTAATATTTTTGTTGTTGCTGTTTAGATTAATTCATGATTTCTATTCTCTCTTTCTTCCCTCACGTCTAGCAAAACTGTACAATCTAAAGTGGACTGCATTTTGGTAAGTACAACTCCAGAATGCTTTTTAATATTTAATAAACCGTGAGACCAAAATAGATGGCTCTGGAGACTGACAGCTATTATGAAGGCTTTCCGTAGCAGTGCTTTAAGAAACTACCATTAAATGTGCTCAAAATTAGTTCCCATTGCCAAAAAAGTACATGATGTGGGTTTGGTGGTTTTTTTCCGTAGGAGTAGTGACCTCTTGTTGCCAGCAGCAATGGCTGTGATTGCCACTTGTAGAGCTGTCAGTATAGATACCACACAGAAAGGTGACTTACTGCTTTTGTAATCAGGATTTTATTAAATGCAAGATTGTGTTGCACAGATGAGAGTTTACATGAAGCCAATTGTGCCTTCAAGTTCCATTGCTCTTTAGGCCTTTAATGACAACAATTACTGCTTTTGTTGTTGTTTCCTTGAACAGTTAATTCATGGCCAGTACTATGTTTTAAGGAAGGAAGTAGATTGAACTGCATGTTTGCACAAAACCTGAGAGGCGAATGTCCCCGTCTGTGAAAATCTTGCAGGTGTCATAATTATCAGATTTTTGGTTTGTTTTTTTTAAACCTTGCTAACCTCAAAAATTGCACACCATCTCAGGTACCTTCCCAGAAATGTGCAACTTTACGGGTCCTGTTAGCACCACTGTACTACTTAGGACAGAGGGATAACACCGTTTTTAGAAGGAAAGCCCTTGACGTGCATAAACGTGATCTTCCTTTGTGCATTAAAATAACAGGGTCTAGACAGGGATAAGTGACTATTTCTGGGAAGCAAATATCTAGCACTAACTCAGAAAGAGGTTTTATTTGTTTGTTTCTAATAGTGAGCAGGTTGTGAGTTTCTTTAAATCAGAGTCTGAGTTCATAAATCTTAAGACTGGAAGGGACTGCTTATTCTGACTTTCTACCTTCGGCATTTCACGCAGAAGTACCAGCGGGTAAGATAGAAAGATGACACAGAAAACCATCTGGATACTATCAAACAGAATCTGTTCAGCTGTATGCCTGAGCTAAATAAGAATACTCCTTAAAGCCACATTATCAAAGGCTAATTCAGCTGTCACTGGATTCTTTTTACTTCAAATGTTGTCTTAATTTATTGTGGTAAGAGGTTTAAAGTAAGCTGTATTGTTGTTCTGCAGACAAACTTTGGACCCAGTTTTGCATATGCTTAAAGATTCTTGGATGCATCCACCTAAAATAGTAACGTAAAGCAACATTTTTGTCCACTTTATTCCTCCTCGACATTTGTGGACATAAAGCATGTGAGTCTTCGGTGGCAAAAGGGCCACTGTTTTTCTGTGGTGAAAAATGGGACGTGGGGTAGGTGTTGCTAAGTAGCATCAGAGCAGAAATAAATAAGCAGGAGGTTAACCAGTCATCTGCTTCTTGGAAATCTGTTTTAAGAAAATAGAATTACACTAGGACAGTTCTTGCATTAAATTCTGCAGATTTGCGGACCTAGGGTACTGAGGTAGGGGTTGCCAGTTTGTGTGAGCCCGTTCAGTTGTGTAGGTCGCACCCATCGGACGGACAAGCTATTTTTCTGACTAGTGCTCTTGGACACAAAGCAGTCTCCATGGCTTGACTTGGAACAGAGCAGCGCTGTCCTGACGGTCTAATTTCCTGTTCCCGATGCCTCCTTGTCTGTCCTGCTGATGAGTTCAGAGGAGCCCTGTCAACAGTGGAAAGGCCACTCTAGGTTAGCAAAGGTAGATCTGATGCTTTTCAGGTAGTTCAAAAAACAAAAATCCAAGATCAGAATAGTTTCAGCAAATAAACTGAATTCTGGCAAAATGATTTCTGCATTTTTACATGCTTTGGGAAAGCTGTGAGCTGCAAGACAGAATCTAAAAGTATGTTAAACTAAAAGGCTGTGACTGTATAGCTCTAAATAACTTGTTTGGAGCTTTCTTGTAGGCTGGTCCAGTTTTGTCCTGCAGGAGGTAGATGAGCAGGTTGCCTCTTTGGTGGAATGTGTATGGGTTTGTCGGAGCAGCCCTGTGCTTGGGATACCTACTGACTGCAGAGCGTCCAACTCCAAGCTGATGGGCAGGTCAGGACTTCCTTTAAGTGCACGTTCTTACATGTTTGGTTCATACAGAAACCTTTTCAGGGCCTTCCAATCAGTCTCATGAAGCACAAAGGGACAATGCCTGTCCCTTGTCTCCCCTCTAACTGTAAGGAGGAGATTTGGGACTAGCTTTCAGTGAGACTGGGAGGTGCTGATGATACCTTAAAGCATTTAAACGTGATCAGTTTGCTAGCAATCTTAAAAGAAAAAACACGAGTAGAGAAAAATGAGACTCTGCTTGTTGCCGTTTGTGTTTGGCAGCACCAGTCACAGCCACGGTGCACAGAGCGGTGCGTGGATGCTCTTTGGCACATAGACTGCCCAGTTCAACACAGGATAGCAAGAGAGAGAAATAGGAAGAAGAAATAGAGGTGATGGCAGTAGTCTGTGTCGGGCAGGTAGCTAGCAGCAGAGAACTACAGAAAACAGCTGGTATAAGGGCACTGGGGCTGCAATTACTCATACGGGAGACCAAAGTTATCTGCCTTTTACTTGTTATACCGCACCACTTACATTCTGACATACTGTCAGTTTCTGGGAGATCATAAGAAAATCATTGTATGCTGTGCAATCCAAAAAGATAATTAGCAAGAATTGTGGTGTAAACAGCCATTAAAAATTCATTATAACATCTTTTTAACTGTAGTAAACATGTCTAGCAGGAGATTCTCTTATGACTTCACTTGTTATATTTGTTGCCACATACTAAGTGAACTCTTGAACCTGATTTTTAAAGTGGTGTGCTCCAAATAATCGCTCAGCAAGAAGGTTATGGTTTCTTTCTGTAGTCCTCTGAAAAGAGGTCAGTGCTGGTGAGGGAGTGCCGGATCGATGGCCGTGAAAACCAAAGCTGCCGGTGGCTGGAGCAGTTACCTTGTGGGCAGTGGCAGCGTTTAAGATCTGTTGAAGCAGTGTGCCTTGGTCCTGCTGTGGAGAAGGTGGTGGCTCGTCACTTGCCTTTTTGGCCCGACAGGAGGCGGGCAGAAGCTCTCTGAAGCTTTGACAGCTGTGCTTGGACACTGTCAGGGCAAAGCTGCCGTGTGTTTTTAGGGCTTGTTTGGAGTATTTAGCACCTGAAATATGTTTCTGCTTCTCTTCGGATAAAGCACATCAAACGCAGTTAGTAGCAGCTTTTTGGAGTAATAGGTTCTGTTTCAAGTATTAGCTATTTTCTGTCTTGATCATATTTCCGACAAACCGTCTGACCTTGAGCAGATTATTTAACCTTTGCTTCTTGTTTCTCGGTTCAGAGAGTGGGGAGATGATTGCTTGACTACTTTGCTATTCTTAGTCTGGTTGTTAAATAATAGATGTTTGTTCTGCTGAAGTATGACAAGTTTTAGAAGCAGCCTGCCAGTAGGTGCGAGTTACATTGCCGTTGGCATAGCCTTCTTTACTTCGATTAGAGTATAGTTATCTATAAATACTCAAAATGTGGAAAGAAATATTAAGATCAGTCTATGCTCTGTAAAATAGCAGTCTTGCAAAAAGCTTGCAGCAGCGCCCCCGGCCTTCAACTCCTCTTCAGCAGATCTCGAGGACAGAAATAACCTGTAATTCTGCCTTTATGGTGGAAATATGAAGTAGTGAAACACGGCACTCAAATTTGAACTGTGTTCATTACAGAATTTGTAACTCTGCTAATTGTTCCTTAGTATATTCTTCCTCTATCTTATTTAAAGTTTGACATAGCTAAATGTTTTCTTCTTTAAAACAATCCAGAAAAAGCACATTTCCGGGAGTTTTCCTATGGTAATCCCTGTTGACAAATGAAATTGATTGATGAAATGATTGATGAAATTTCACCAGTGTTTGTGACCTGACCATAGATCAGCAGGCAGATAAAAGCAAATAGAGAGAACCAATCTACCAAGGTCGGGAAACCTTAAATCATGTTCTGTGATTCTGGAGACTCCTGTTCAAATTTCTAGGTTCTCTGGTTCAAGCAGGAACTCATGTTTCCTATAACACAGATCAAGTCCTTAACCACGGTCTGTGTTGAACTGATCTTTGTCTCTTTGTGCTGTGAAAAGTTTCAGTGTCTACTTAGTGTCTCTCAGAATGGAACCAGATGTCAAACCCTGCTATTTTCATTTTAAAAAACAACAAACTCACAGCATCTTGGCCATCCTGGTTTATTTCACAGCTGTTTATTTGCTCAATCAAAACGCCCGTTAGAATGAAAAAGAAAGTTGCTTCTGTTCCTAAGAGATCCTTGTTCTGTGTCTGTCTCAGGCAGCAAAGGACAGATTCATTTGGAGCAGATCTATGTGGCCACTGATAAAGCAAATATAAATGGATCTCTGGTTTAATTTGTTTGCTACATATTTTGTGCATCTCTTTAGTGAACTATCTATATTTGGTAACTGTCAAAACAAAAATATCAGATATTTTCTGCTCCTTTATATGGTGCTGAAAGTCTTTGCTTAGCTGTGACTTGAGGTTTCTAATTCTTTGTCCTTAGTTTTTCTGCTTCAGAATATAAGATCACTCATATATTTTGAGTACTTGACGTATTTTTTGCTAAATTGAAGCCAAGTTGTGAAAGTAAGTATGAATGCTGCTTGCTCCTCATCTTAACTGAATCTTCCTTTATTTAATATGGTTCCAATTACAGGAGATAAATATAATGTGTGAGGAGCAAGCGTAATAGAGGTAGTGCTTTGTGATGGCTTTACACCTCAGCCCTGCGAGCAGTTTAGCATGCTTATGCGTTTTTCTAATGCAGCTTCAAGAAATAGGGTTTATAAATAGCCTTTGGAAAATCAGACAGTCTTCGTCTGATTTGATAGAACCAGTCAATCAAGGTCAGGAAAGTTTGAGCAAAATTTTTACTTAGATCCTTTTAAGTAGCAGAAAAGGACTCCCCAGACATTTTTCATTCTGTATGGGTTTTAAAACTATTGTAGCATAAGGTTGAACAGGCTACGCAGAGGGGAATTTGTCCAAGATGCTGCCAGCATCACAGTATTCCTTTTGATGCTGTGACTCTTTCTCACTCTATTGACCTATTTTTTCCACACTATTGACCTATTTGGGGGATGGCGGTGAAGAAAATTTATAGTGTATTTTGTGTTCTTGTTCCTTTTTATTCATTTCTATATGCATCCAACTTAGCACAAAGAAAAACTTGGGATGAATGGATCTTTTTCTTCTTGGTCAGTAGGCCAGCTGAAATGTTCCTTCACTTTCCCAAATTCTTTTCTGATTATATTAAGAAATTTGAAAGTTTTGATACTTTGAACAGTTGCAGTAACAGTTATTACTGAATTCACCAGACCTTTAGCACTGAGAACTGCTGAATGTCAGCTGAGGTTGAGGAAGAGTTTGCACTTACAGAGGTTGTAAACAAAGTTTTGAGAGTTTTAGAAATGCTTAGAGCAAATAGCCTAAACAAAACATAACGTTTAACAAAGCTTTAAACTAAACAAAACATGATGTTTCCTGAATCTGCTTGCACTGACTGTCACATTCCATCCCTTCACTGCCACTTCTTTAGTTTTAAGATGATTTTCTCTAAATAGATTCAGTCTCATCTAATAAGCTTAGGTTTATCTCATTATCACCCAGGTAGGATTACCTCTGTGAACTGCCTGTGACTCCTGGCTGCGTGCTAACTTTCCCGTTTTGAGGAAGTCCTGCCTCCCTAGGGCTTCCCTGCAGCCTTCCCTGGAAGCTGAAGGATTTGTGCAGAAAGTGCTGCCCGGGGCCAGGCGTGGAGAGGAGTGGGGTTTGAGTGCAAACAGCGAGAGAACATCACTGTCCAGCAGCTTCCAGCTTCCCGTATTCTGGGCTGCATCCCCAGCGGCATGGCCAGCAGGTCGAGGGGCGGGATTCTGCCCCTCTACTCTGTTCTGGTGAGACCCCATCTCCAGTACCGCGTCCAGCTCTGGGGCCCTCAGCACAAGAAGGATGTGGACCTGTTGCAGGGGTTCCAGAGGAGGCCACAAAGATGCTCTGAGGGCTGAAGGACCTCTGCTGTGAGGACAGGCTGAGAGAGTTGGGGTTGTTCGGCCTGGAGAAGAGAAGGCTCCAGGGCGACCTTATAGCCCCTTCCAGTATCTGAAGGAGGCCTATAAGAAAGCTGGAGAGGGACTTTGTAGAAAGTCATATAGTGATAGGACAAGGGGTAGTGGTTTTAAACTGAAAGAGGGGAGATTTAGATTAGTTATTAGGAAGAAATTCTTTACTGTGAGGGTGGTGAGGCACTGGCACAGGTTGTCCAGGGAAGTTGTGGCTGCCCCATCCCTGGAGGGGTTCAAGGCCAGGCTGGATGGGGCTTTGAGCAGCCTGGTCTGGTGGAAGGTGTCCCTGCCCTTGGCAGTGGGGTTGGAACTAGGTGACATTTAAGGTCCCTTCCAACCCAAACCATTCTGTGATCCCACTGAGGATGTGAGAGAGCTGTATTCCTCAGTTTTGCTGATAAAAGAGTTGCTGGCTCGCTTGCATCCTTTGGAAGAGGCTTTGCTAACAATCCCAGTCACACTTTTTCTCTACATATATATCATTGGGGTTTTTGTTGTGGTGGTTTTTGTTGTTTTTTTTCAAATTAGGGATTTTGAGGGATGGGGCCTGTGTAGCAGAGCCTCCGTGGCTCAGGCAGGGCTGTTCCACTTGCCCTTCCTTCTGCCAGGACCCAGCAGAAGTTGCTTCAACTGCAGTGGGCACTAAGACGACTTCAGTATTTTTTGATGAAAGGTTTAATGTTTCTTCTGAAACCTCACCTTTTATGTTGCACTCTGGCACATTAGACTTGGAAGTGAGAGGTTGTCTTCCACCTGAGCATCAGTCATTGGGAGTGGTTTTGTTTTGCCTGGGATACTTTTGCCGCATGGATTAGCACTTACCATGCAGGGTAATCTCACCTGAACAGCGTCCTTTGATGTGCTGCTTTGGCATTTGCCATTTAAAACAAAGAGCAGCTCAGTTTCTCAAAGAAAAGGAGGTCTAATAAAAAAGTGCAAATTTTCTTGCAGTTGTTAAATTTCTATCTTTTCATAAATAAACGCTTAATTTTCTGTAAATTCTCTCTTTGAAGAGCATTGATCTTTTCACTAATGGTTTTGTTAAAGGAAAACCAGCCAGTGCAAATGCTGTGATTTATGCAGGAAAGGGAGAACAGAGAATTTGACAAAATTCTCTAAGAAATACCTCTCTGGATATTTGGTGGTCTGAGCACTACTGCTGTGTAAGCTGCTGTAGGGCCACGCAGAAGTCGGTGTCAGCAAATTTCCAAAGTTTGTCAGAGAAAAAAAAACCCACCCAAATGTAGTGGTTTGCTGCAGCTTATAAAAGCAACAAATCCAGTGTCTGTTACCTGGCTGCTGCTGGAAGTGTTTCTCTTGGCTCCACGAGCGCCTGTCGCATCGCTGGTGGCCCAGTTCTGCAGAGCAGTTTTGCGGTGGGGATAAGGGAGCTCCAGCGCCCTTCCCTGGACAGCGTGTCCCTCTGGGCATGTCACTCACAGTCTGGGGTCAGGGAGGGACCCCTGCATTGTCCCCAGCGGAGGGGAAGTGGGAGCTCACCTCTCTAGTGCTGCTGTTAATTTTGCACCAGCTGAAGCGAGGTGGATCTGGACATGATGAGGATGGGTAGGGAGCCCTGGTTTGAAGTGAAGTTTAGGTTTTTAGTTTCCCTGTTACCTATTCTGCTCATTGCTGAAGTAAAAAGCCAGGAACTGTTGGTCCTGCTCTCTTCTCTTCCTTTGGAAAATGTTACATTGGCAGTAAGACACCAGTAAAGCAAAAGAGAATTAACTGTAATCCAAAAGCTGTATTCTGACTTAAAAGGGATCATGAGAGTCTTTCACTCTGTGCTGGTGGTGCACCACCTCATGCATTGCCTCTGCAGCATCTTCCTGAAGGAGAACCCGTTTGCTCCTTGTAGCACAGCTTTACTTGCGCTGGTGCTGAGCAGGCCTGAGCACATTACCGTAACTGATCTTCCTAGGATTCTGAAGTCCACGCAGCTGGATTCAGATGACCAAAAGCTGGTTCGTAGATAGCAATCACTGTTTGCATACACCAGGTAAAGCTCCCCCTTGCGTCTGATCCTCGGCTGGTATCCTCTGGAGGGGGAGTCCAGCATTGCTGAGTATCATGTTAACTGAATGGCTTGTCTTCACTACCTGTCTAATAACTCTGATTTCCAAAGCAAAGAAAAAATACATATGCATATAGATAGATTTTTAAAATGTCTTCATTGAAGTCTGTGACGCTTAACTATTAATAGGTGGTGGATCACAGGATCGGGACTGACATCCCATGTTGTTACAGCATAGCTGGGTTTTGATGCTGTCTTCTCAGAGGTGCTTCACACGTGCTCAGAGAAGATAAAGTTTTCACGTTACGTGTCTGGTTACAGAAGTGATCAGTTATTAACATTTTTCCAGATTCTGCTTTTGGTGCATGTGAATTTTGTAATGGTGGTCAGTGCTTTGTAGTGTGTGGCGGCATGCAAATAAAATAGAAAATCATGTTTCTGGTCCCAGAGTTCTCATAGTCACATTTTTCACATAAGTAAATACTGTCTTGTTTAAAATTTATATTACTTAAGAATACGCTGTTGGATGACAGTTTTTAGCTGTCAAGCTCAACTCTTACTGTTTGCTTTTTCTCCTCCTCCCCAACCTTTTTTTTTTTTTTTTTTTTAACCAAACCACCTTTGTTATCTAGCAAGAAGTTGAGAAGTTTACAGACCTAGAGAAACTCTACCTCTACCTTCAGCTGCCTTCGGGTCCCAACAATGGAGACAAAAGGTATGCGTGTGAGTGTGTAAATGCGAGCAGCTAGTACTTTCTGTGGCACTTATCTGCTGACGAACCATTCACATGGGGTGTTTGGTAGCAGAAGGAGCCTTTATTAAACATTAAGGACTCTTTCTTTAATTTTGATTTTCTTTTTTTTTTTTTTTTTTTTTTAACTTTGGAATCTTTAACGCATGAATAGCTTGTAAATATAAACCTCCTAAAATGCAAGAATCATCAGAGAAAGTGTTTTGCAGCTTAAGTGTGATTGTTCCTTCACTTTTTATGTAGGAAGTGATAATACAGCAACACAAATGCGATGGTGGGGGAAAGAAGGAAGTAATGGTATTTCTGGTAACATTTGTTTGACTAAAGAAAGGTCTAGAAAACCCACCTGCAGATCCCAACATCACAAAATTAGTGTGTGTTCCCAGTAGGATGGTTGTAGGCAGGCAGGTGCCTGCAGGAAGTGCTGTGAGATCTGCTGGGAAAGTTGGGTGTTTCCAAAGGGCAGCTGGCAAATGGAGCAGGCAAAAGCTTAGACGTGGTCAGTAAGGAACAATACATTTAAAAGGAGGAGTAGGTGAACTCTCAGCCATCACTGTCTACTTGCAGCTAAGTATCAGTCAAGAACTGGAGTGTGAAGTTTCTTTGCTAAATTGTGGATGAAAGAGGGAGACAACTGCTGCCCACACCGCAAGGAATAGCTAAATGTGTGAGGTGCTGGCCCTTGTCTCTGGTGTCTCTCCACCTGTGTAGGCAGACAATTATTAAGTCTTGTAACTGAGGAGGAGCTCTGGAGCGAAGTCTTCATCAGCACTGCTGCTTCTTTTGCTAGTGATCAGATCTCCATGTCGTCCAGCCGTGCCCAGCAGATGCACGCCTTCTCGTGGATACGGAACACCTTGGAAGAGCACCCTGAGACATCCCTTCCCAAACAGGAGGTTTATGATGAATACAAGTGAGTGCTCCCGAACCGGATCCATACGTACGGCTTTAGCTAGCATAGATAGTTCTGTGACACTGGCTCTACAGGTGCTCCGCTGATACACATGTGTAACAAGTGCATATAGCAGAACAAGGCCATATGTACTAGTGTACCTGAGAGCGTACTAGCTCTACAGTGAGGCAAACTGTATTCATTATTTCTGCCACTGAAGATAACTGTGATGTTTAAATTGTGCATTAGGTATGCTGAAGGAAAAGTACAAGTATTTCTTAACAAGTAAATATCCGTATGAATATTGATTTTGTTTTGTGGAGAGCGCGGCACAAGTAAAAAGCACAAGTTACTATCTTACAGTACATTTTGGTCTGCTTATATATATATATATATATATATATATATGCACATGTGACTGCTTTAACAAGGATGAAGGGTTGAATTGTTCCTCCTGGAAATGCAGCTATTTTGCACATAAGATCTAGCCCATCACACCTTTCTTTCCAGAATAGTGCATAAATATTGGACCTTCCTGCAGCAAACCTGATTTCTACAGAGACACAATATATCTGAATATGTATGAAACCAGTAACCAAGGCCACTGTGAGTCTGTGTTGTCAAGTCTCAAAGCTACCGTGTAACGAGAAAGCGATTAGAAGCAAGGGAGAGGGAGCTGTCTGACGGAAGTTGGATTTGAATTCATTTACAGAACGTTCCCCACGGGGGGAGGAAAAAAAATCATCCTCAGCCCAGTTGCCTGAAGATGAATAACAGATTTATGATCTAGTATGAATATTTCCATAATCTGAGCGATTACAGTAATTTGCAGCGAGCTGAATCCCTTCACCTCCTAAGTGCCTACAGGATTCAGCCTTCAGTAATTATTGCAGGGTTGCCTTCCGCAAATGCCTTCTCTTAATTAACTCGCTCTGGTCAAGTTTTTTACTCTGGCTGAGCTGAGACATGATGGCATTCGCTTGCCTGGGGTTGATAAACATGCACACACCTATTTCTGAAGTCTCGCCATCGACTGGAGCGGTGACGCAGCCTGGAAATATAGCCAATGGCACAGACGTGCCGGGGTGGCCAATCCCCGAGCAGCAGCCGCTCGCGCAGACACAGCAACAGCGGCAGCTGCTGTGCAGGAGAGAGATGGAAGCGTTATTCTTAAATATATTTCTTATTAAATAATTTATGGCCTGCTTCAGCAACAAATCTGCTTGGCTTCCATGCTGTGCCAAGCTGCAGATGCCCAGAAAAATCATCATCTACAGATTGTGGAGTGTGAAATTTGGATGGCTTTTGTATGTAGCTGCATCAAGCATTTGTGTATTGTATTTTTTTTTCCTGACAAAATAAGGGTGGTAAGCAAATATTCAGGAAAATATCAAATGTTTGGAATCTGTTCTCCTTTGAAAGCATCTGTTCTGTTTTTAAAACATTCAGTTTCTTTGAATGTTTTCATGAGTTATTCTTGCACACCAAAGGAATAGTCTTGGAGTGGGAGGTGGGGAACAGGCATATAAATAGATAAGAGACTTAGTTTTGATAACTCATTTTTCTTTACCTAAGGGTGTTAAGACCTCTCAAAACTCACTTCTGTCATATTAACAAGTTAGCATTGCTCTCCTCGATGTGCAAAGATAGATGTTGCATGAGCTCACAGTGAGCAAGCTTATGCACTCTGCATCTATAAATCAAAGTTACAAGGCTTCAGAGTGTGCCACATCATACCAGCATCTCAATTCCTGCTAAATTTTGGTCAAAATAAATCTTGCAAAACTAGTGGGCTTCTGCATCCCCTTTCATGTGTTTTGCCTTTTTTTTTTTTTTTTCTGTGAAGAGGGAAAGGCGCAGAAGCTTGTGGTCTACGCAAGTCCACCATTGGCAAGTGTTGATAGTGTTTCCAGCTCCTCTACATTTCAGTAGCCTCTTCTCACTGAGCTTATTCAACATAGTGACTCTTCTTTCTGTTTTCTTACCCTTATATTTAATTGTGAATTCGTGTCTTTTAACTGGATAAAAGTCAATGGATTAATCTCCCTTTTGAAAGTGATAAAATAAATGAAAAATGCATCATAATGTAAGGCAGTAGCACTTGGGAAGGCTGAGAGCTTGCAGCTGAATTTCAGAAAGGAGGTAGATGAGAGCTAGTTCACCTCTTGTTGGTGGTGTGATGCCGCTTGCACTGCCAGAATAGGTCAGGCTGCAAGAAGCTGTGCTTCTGTTGGGCACACGCGGCTCTCTTGCCATCTTCCTCTGGGAGTTATGGGGGAATAGAGTCTGGAAAATACTATGGGAACTCAGGGGGAGCTGCCTAACATGTTGCAGAGAATGGATGCTGCTTGCCGTCAAATCCTCTCAATGTTTTCTTGTAAGTCAGTTTTACTTGGGCGTCTTCTCCCTGTTCGTAAACACCCTTCTGGAGGCAGCTAGGTGTAGATTTAGCTGAGTTAAGACTCGAAATCCTAATTCTCTAAAGTGCAGTCTTGCAGTACAAAAATCCCTGTTTGCGCACAAAATGATTTGTTGAGCCTTCAGTAAACACTTGGGTCCTCTTATCTTGCTTCTACTGCAGTCACGCAAGCAAAGTAAGTAATTCATATTTGTTTGGTACCCTGAAGATTCACTTGATATGGAGTAGGAGGTCTTTGAGTCATCCCATATCTCTTTCCTTTAATCTGTAAATCATTAATCCTTGCTTCACTGGCTGCTGGGCCACCCTGATGCCACCTGACACATAGATTGTGTGCACTAAGAATGTTAAACACCAAGTCAGAAGAAGAATATTCCGAAGCTAGCACAAAAGGGGGCAGTAGGTGTAGGAATACAATGTCTGTTAAACAAATAAAAGATACAAGATACATAGTAATCTTGTTTGGTAGCACTTAACCAGTATTTTTATATAAAACTCCCTGATGGGAACAGGATGGGACCTATTGTATTATAAAGTCCAGTCCTGTGTCGTAAGCAGCTACTTAAGTATTCCTTTTAACAGCCCATCAAACTCCATTTAAAGTAGTTGTTTCCCACCTCTGCTGCAGTTTCATTTCTGTGATGGTTTTCAGACATCTGTTTTCCCATCCTACATGATTGTTAGGACTCATTTCTGTGCCAACGTTGTTCATCAGCTTAACGAGAGCCTACCTCTTCCTAAGGTTCTTCACTTTAACCCGTTTTTCGAGACCAGTTATTTAGCTGGATTGGACAAGTCAAGGTCTTTGTTTCATTTCCTGCAGTAGATTCTTTATCATTTGCTATTCCTAGTGCTTTTTCTGCCCAGGAAGCTGTGTAAGCTGGGCTGCATAGCCTGACTGTCTTCATTGCCTTTTTGGTTAATCTTCTCTGTGGTTTAATTCAGGTGCACTCTCAGTGGTTTTTATGTCTTGAGGACACTTAATTTGAAGATTTTTTTTTTTTTTTTAAAAAGGACCTTTTCTCCTTCATACGTAGGGGAGCTCTGTACAAAGGAACAGAAGCACCCGCGTGTCCATTGTCATTCCTGTCTCTGCGTAGACCTTCCCTCCCCCCATCTGTCTCCCACCCACCCTTCAAATAAGCAACACAGCTCCTGGGCTCAGCGATGTGCCAAGAGTGCAAGTAGCAGAGAGAAGAGCTTCAGGGAAGAGACTCCTGGTATGTGTTGTCAAGTCAATGAGAGACCACAGATGGACATGAAGGGCTCTCAGCTGAGCCAGGAGGAGGAGGGGCCACATGGGATGATCTGTCTGAAAACTGAAATTACATGATAATAATAATAGCTCAGAAATCACAAGCTTGCAGGAGCTGCCAGTATGGATACGAGGGGACCACAGAACTGTATGTTTTGCTGCTAGCAAGTAATTGTCTTGAAACAGATGTGTTAGACTTGAGGAACTGATCCCCCCTCCTTTTATTTATTTGTTTTCTCCTAGAGAGGGAATAAATTTAACTTTAATGTTGGTTGATTGGTAGGTCCCTAATCCTGTTGGGTTTTTTCATTTATTTTGTTAAGCTGACGCTGCTGAGTTTCAGTCAAAGATACTGCTGACTGTGGCAGAGAAATTCAGACTTAATGTCCTGTGATCAGCATCAGTAAGCGACAAACACACACCTTTCAGGAATTTTCAGAGTAAAGTTAAAATCCGTTGGAGCCTGACAAGATGCAAGGGAAAAAAAGGCACACAGGGGCCTGTATTAGACATAAAGCAATGTCTGATTCCTAAGAGGGTGCAGCGAGGGAGGAGAAAGTAGTCCTTTGTATTAACTTCAAAGGGACATATCCAGAATCCAAATTCTGAGGCTGACGTGCATTGAAATGAAATATGTTCGTATATGTTATGGTTTGAGGACCCCGCAACAACTTATTGTCATTTAGACAATTATTTTATCACCGGATGACCCCTCCCCACACAGGCAGGGGAATCGGGGAAAAAACAAGGAAACACGAGGGTTGAAATGTAAACAGATTTAATAGAATAAGACTTGAAAATTAACATTAATAACACTAAAGAACCATTATTGATCCTGATACCAATATAAAATATACAAAGATTATACTCAGCCCACTCTATCTGTAGGAAGCTGTGCACTCGCAGCCCTGGACAGCAAACGTTGGACACTGCGAGCGCTACAGCTTTAGGAGGAAGGGAAGGGCTCAGGGGTCTGGCACTGGGGCAAGAAGTTCTCAGGATTGCAGCCACCATAGAAGAGAGAACTTCTCAACAAACTTTCTAATTTATATTGAATATGATGTTCGCAGTATGAAATATTCCTGTTGGCAATCTCAGGTCGAGTGCCCAGGTCTCGCTCCTCCTCATCCCTGCACCTGGCAAGCTCAAAACCACTGAGACCTTGAAACCCACATACCATAGCTGGCTATAAAGTAAATATTTTCGCAAATTCAGACACCGGAATCTTCTAGAAATGTAGTTTTCCCAAGCATTAGAAGAGACCTTACTGAAAAGTAAAATTGCTGAAAGAAATTAATCTTGTGTCACTTTAACTGGGACAGTATATAAACTGGATAAAAACCTTCTCGATGTCCCATACAGAAACCAGACTAATGGCTGAGTGTGTCCCAGGTTGTAGGCCACGTGTCCAGGTTTGGACAGAGTGGCTCGGTAGCTGGGGGATGTAGGCATGCCTGAGCTCTGCAGGGAAATGTCAGAAATAGCCTAAGTCTTGCTGTTTATCATCATCAAAATCATGATGTTTGTGGTAGTGCTTTCCAAGTGGAGGATACCTACGTACAGCCAAGGTGAAGGCAGCAGATACTTACTCTGTAATGACTAGTATTTTTACAGAGAAAATAAATGTGGTGGAAGTATCTCAAGAAATACATACTGCTTTATATAGAGCTACAGCTTTCTGAGAAGACATTTTGACTGGCCCACTTGGATGCAAATGCCGTTGCTAATTGTTACTGGTTTTACTAGGCGATGTTGGGAATGAAATATCCGTTCCAAGAGTGCTGCTTTTTCTTTCTTTCTTTGTTCTTTATAAGCAGAGATTTGTTTGTAC